TTCTTCTTCCATAAAGATAAAATTTCTGCTGATAATAAGATTTTTCTTGACAGGATTGTATAATCTGTAGCCCTTAATATCTTCACCATAGCCAGCTATTGTATTCCGCAGACTTCGTATCCCTTCAAACAACATTCCTTAGGGACATGTACCATGACTTTACAACCAAATAAACGTATGTGGCTTAGGTCCGGTTTTTTTTAATACCACAATTCATATGGAGTTTTCTGAAGTCCCGATACAATGGATCTTTTTTTTAAATAGACAGAAGTGTTCGCGGCTTCTGCTTAAATCTTTTATCAAGCTTTGCATCCTTCATTAGACATCTAGCCTTCTCAATCCAGTCGGTTAGCTCGCTCACATAGACCATTTTGGTCAGATGTATAATCATTCGATCTTTGATGAATTATGCCCTCTTGCTTTAAATAATTCTCAAATTCTTTGTTAGTATACTCTAGTCCATTGTCTGTCCTTATTATTTTTATCTTTTTATTTAACTGATTTTCCACCATTGTTTTCTGTCTCATCCTCTCTTGGGTATGTTCCGAAATACAACGCTGTACAACGCTGTGTAAATGTAATGCATAGATAAATAAATATGTAGCAAGCTACATAGTGTAGTCAGTAATCTATGATCACAGACTAGATAGACAAACTGACGTTTGTCTCCGTCGTCTTTCTTCTTATTTGGCAACGTGACCGCCATATTTCTTTGGCTTAGTGTTGCCAGAGTAAAATTTATTTCACGCGGCATATGCAGCTTCGTTTCCGGCGCTGTTATTGTCACTGGTCACTTCCATGTCAAGTAATTTCGACTTTATGACATCTGCAATTATCAAAATACCGGAATGTTCAATTGCCATGATCATGGATGTATAACGATCGGACAAACCTGCTATTAATGGTGAGCCAACCCATTCGTCTGTTTTGTAAAGCCCGTGCCATTTAACCGCTGTGCTGTCTCGACCATTTGAGTCACATATGTCGCCATAGAATCACAATTTTCTAGTCGTATGGATATCAAATGTCGCAGCAAGGTTATTTTTCTCGAGAAACCGGAGTCGTCAAACATGGTCTTCAACGTAGTCCATAATTATTTTGAGCTCTTGGTGTTCTTAAAATGTACGTACAATGACGGGTCTATAGTATATAGCTTTGCCTTCGTTTTTGCATCTTCCACAAGCTTAAGTTCAAAATCTGGCGTCGGTTTGATGTACTTGTCCATCCCTTCGAGCACCAACAAATTTTCAACCGCGAAACTCCACTCATCATAGTTCTCTCTTCCTTTTAATTTAGGAACACTGGCAATAGTAATCGTAGTCATGTTTCCGCGATAAAACTTTCACTATAGACGATAAATGATAGCTTGATCTCTGCGACATATGTCAAACTGACATTCCTAGGGTTGTCAGGATATAAAAAAATTGTCGATAGAAATTATCGATGTTTCTTACTATTATCAATGCTAATGTAACATATAATAATTGGGTTTAATTTAATTACAAACGTTACTAAATTAAACGAATATTTTTAATATAAAATGCATTTATTCCCTTAAAGGAGGGAATGCAATCCAGCACCCAAAAAGATAATCTTGCAAATCCGCAAGATTGAGACCATCAGTCACGCGGATCCGCAAGATTTGCAGGATTTTACCTTTGACCTGACTTTTACCTCTTTGGCTGCTTTAAAGTATTTTGTTGTGAATGTTGCTGAGAACAACTTGTACTGCGGTTTCAGTATCACTAACGCTACGTACAGATTCCTCTGTTATCTTATACTTCGTACGGAAGTGTACTTGCAGGCCTTTAGTAGATCGAGCGCTTATTTTGATAATAGAAGGACAACGTTTACACATAGCAGAAAAGCCATCATCCGATCTTAAGAAGTGCTGCCATACAAATGTATTACTGTCGTATTCCTTATAAATTACTTTAGCATTAATTTTTAAGTTAGCGATTACAACTTTACTTATAGCCAATTATTAATTAATTAATTTTATTTAGATAGAATGTTGCGGTTCAAACATAAAAATAAACCGTTTAAATTTATTTCAATTTTTAATCCCATGTCACAAAATACGCACTAGTACGCACGCAGTACGTCACGAACTCACGAGTCAAAACTGAAATAGTGCAAGCATTAGTAGAGTATCAACAGATATTTTGAGGAATCAACTTTTGATAGCGGCACTAATTAGGTCGGCATGCCCATAAAGTATGACATTGACATTATAACTATCTATTTTATAACAAAAAAAAACTGATAATTACGGGATAAACTCATAACCTATTAAAAACACGTGAACAGTTCGCAACAGACTAGTTTTTTTTAAAAGTATACATAGACAACCATATAAATCTTATATAAAACTGGCATAGTACCATAAATATACAACTTAATACAATATAGTGTCTACATTGCACATGAGATGGCGTTAATAGTAGCAAAATACAAATAAGAAGTACTTTTATTATTTTGATATATTGTTATAACAGAAATATATACAAAATTAAAAAAAAAATAAAGAACTAAAAACTTAAATTATCATACAGTACTACTACCCGTGGAATAGTGCCAAGAACGCTGTCTGTATTTCTTTGCTGAATAGCCATATTTAGCCTTTATGCGAGAAGCCTTTAGGAAGGTTTATCATTTTACTACTTCATCCGATATCAGAAAAATACCTGTTGAATATCTTTTGAATTTACGAATAAAATCTACACATAAATTAAATAAGTTAAGTATGAGTTGTAAGAAGTATGAGGTGTAGTGAGGTGTAAGAACATCCACTATCCATATCGTCCCGTGGGTGTCGTAAGAGGCGACAGAGGGAAAATGAAACAGCTGATGGGCAGCAGCATCTTCCTGGTAACAACCCAAACTAATAAAAAGCTATGTATTATATATTATCAATATGTATCCATGAGGGCGGCCTGTGTTCAGCAGTGAACTTTTACAAGCTGTAACTTTTTTATAGCATAGGGTGACAAACGAGCACACACTTCACCTGATGGTAAGTGGTTGCTGCGGCCCATAGACATATACATCTATCCTCGATTACAAATCAAAATGCAGATGCGTGGTCACCAGTGAGGACTAAGATGGAATGCCTCGTTTCCAGTATAAGGGGTCTCCGGTTCTCTACACTCACCGCACTAAACACAGCAGCAATAAGCTGTTACGTTACGCTTGTATGCTGTGAGAGCGTGGTCCTTCCCCGTTCGAGCCGACCCATTCGTGCTACAACTATACTACTAATGTAACTGCAGCATGGCTCTACCGCATATAAAATGGATGGGTGGATGGATATTTACTCAATCATATTGTATTATTTTAGTAGGTGGTTGTAAAGATAATTGTGATGATGATGATGGTGATAATAATAAAGATACTAAAATAATATATATATATATATATATATATATATATATATATATATATATATATATATATATATATTCATACTTTAAACACTAGGAGCAAACCTAAGCTTGTACTACCAATTAGTAGACTCCCTAGAATTAGTAATTCATTTATGGGGCAATAATATGAGCACAGAAATCTAAATAATAAGGCACTAGAAATGCCTTCTACTGTCTTTTAATATCGGGACGTGTGTCACCGGTTCGCAGCTAACACACATAGACAAACTATAAATACTCAATTTCGCCTACATATATCTCTAGCGTTCATGCAATAAAGATTAAACTTTAGATTATTGCGTTAAGGAATATTTTATATAACGCAAAATCTCAGGAGGCGTAGCCACTTGGTCCAATAATTAACGGATGCGAAAAACAGAGAATTACATTGCGCGCTCACTCTCATTTGGGCATAGTGCAACGCAACGCACGTTGCGTAACTTTCTATTAAGCGTCGTTGATCATCCAGGAGTCTCACACTAAGATATAACTAACTTTAATTGAAAGTGTCTCAGTAATAGACGCTTTTAGTAATAGACTGAAGTGGCAATGAGCCGCCCATACAGCTCGAGGAACCGATAACCGATGTGCAAGAAAGGTTCTCGAGTGGTAGTCTCGTACCGGCAGGCGAAGTGTAGGGCTTCCCTCCACTAGATTGAGTGACGACCTGGTAACACATGCAGAAAGTTAATGAATGTATGTGGGTCAGGAACGTGGTTGAGGCTTATGTTCAGCAATGGAATTGTGAAGGGCTGTAATGATGACGAATGATAATGATGATGAGTTACCGCATCCATTTACTATTAGGTCGATGGTTATATATAAAAAAAAAAGAATTGTGACCTTTTTTCTAAGATATTCCAATCGGCGACGCAGACCAACGCCAAACGTGCGATATGTATTGTGAAATAGTGAAAGGTTTCGACTTATTACAATATGACTTATCAACATAGTATAAATCAAAGCCATTTCCCGCCGTCCGTATGCTTAGATCTTTTAAACTACGCAACGGATTTTCATACGGTTTTCATCAATAGACATATCGATTTAATAGGAAGGTTTATATGTTTAATACATGCATATATTGTCGAAATTCAAAAATCATCCGTGCGAAGCCTGGTGAATCGCTAGTTTATAAATAATTTCCTATTTCTATTTAAAGGGATCTGATGGCAATCCAGCGGTGATCCAGACAGCATCTTGGTATCTAGACTCGATCTTGAGCATCAGTAGCGTTCAACTAGAGCAGTTGCAGCCGGTTGCAGCCGCTTGCTTCTGGATCGCTCAGAAGCATCATGGACCAGTGGCCTCCGCTTCTAAGCTTATTAAATGTGCAAACAGAGCCTTTAGTACAACACAATTATTGAGGACCGAAGAGGCGATCTTGAAGAAATTGGTATGTGACAGTAATTACCCTTGCCAGCTTGACTAAGACTTACCAGACTTTAATTTAAACTTCTACTTTGATAATTTTACCTTTTTTTTAATAAAATATCTACAATTAATAATACACATTAAATACAGCGCAAACCACTGAGGTTTAGTTACTGTGCTTGAGTTCGCTATGCTTAAAAAAAAAGAAAAGAATAAAAAACAAAGTACGACCTGTGGTTGGTATAAGAGGCGACTGACTATATATTTTCCACCTGTGAGTGATATAAGAGGCGACTGTATTAAATTCTGGAGATATCTTATGGCTTATGGCTATGGTGGAGCACAATCTCAGTTATGTAAAACATAACATACTTAGACAGGCGAAGTGGATCAATGTCAAAGGCGCGAGACTTCTGGTACTAAGATCGTCAATTCGCCTACTAAGCGTGACGATTAATTATGGTGAATTTCGCCAACAATGTAAGAATTTCAACAGTGAACTTTTAAGGGCTGATGAAGAAGTAATTATTGTGATATATAGAAATAATTTTATATTAACATATAATGTAATTATTTATTTGCCTTAATTACCACGCTATAATAGCGAGCAATTATTACAAATATCCTTTCTTTGAAGGGTTATATGAGGAGGCTATTGGAATTTGATAGGCGGTAATTAATAAATGTCATATAAATATTATGTTTACTATTGATGGCAGCAAAGAACAAAAAGTCAAATACAAAATCTATGATTCTCACCTTTTTTACACCATACATCGAATTGGAAAGCTCCTATTGTACAAGAAAGTAAAAATTTACTGCGTGTAATATTACATCCTCAAAAAAAACTTCATTAGTATGTTTTCTAAATTCCATGTAAATGGTTAGGTATATAAAAAAAATCAATGATGATTACAGAATATTATTTTTCATAGTTTTTTATTTAAATAGATAGAAGCTTTATGTGAAATAAACAAGATTTTTAAAAGATCATTACTGTCATGAAGATTCTGAAGAATGTATGTCCGCCGTGTGTCCTTTTCTACTACTAATCTATTTTAAGTTTTCTTTCTCTTGTGTGTATTTAATTGTCCAGTTGTATGTGATTGCATAATACGATTGGTGGGGAATAAAGTTCATTGAGTGGCAGCCTCGGACCCCTCGCCAATAGAAGGCGTGACACAACCTGATGAAACATGCAGTTATGCCTTGATGGATCGCTCGCTTCATCAAGATGAACATGGACAAAACAAAGATCATGTTTAATGTCCATGTCACACCTATGCCGGTAGTTGTTGAGAGCACTAAGCTCGAAGTTTTTGACCTGTACGTTTACCTGGGACAAATAATAGTCCGACTAGGTAAGTGCAACTTCGACCGAGAGGTCAATCGACGGATTCAACTCGGCTGGGCAGCATTCGGGAAATTACGACACATCTTCTCGTCAGGTTATACCTCAATCTCTGAAAACTAGATTGTACAACCAGTGCGTGTTGCCAGTGATGACTTACGGATCTGAGACGTGGTCCTTCACTGCTGGCCGTATGAGGACGCTCAAGGTTACTCAGCGAGCTATGTAGAGGGCTATGCTCGGAGTTTCTCTGCTTGATAGATTCAGAAATGAGGATATCCGCAGTAGAACCAGAGTGAACGACATAGCCCAACGGATTAGTAAGCTGAAGTGGCAATGGGCCGGCCATATAGCTCGAAGAACCGACAACCGTTGGGGAAAAAAGGTTCTCGAGTGGCAGCCTCGTACCGGTAGGCGTAGTGTAGGGCGACCCCCCACTAGATGGAGTGACGACCTGGTAAGATATGCAGGAAGTCGATGGATGCAGGTGGCTCAGGACCGTGCTTTGTGGCATTACTTGGGGGAGGCCTATGTTCAGCAGTGGACTTGTGAAGGGCTGTAATGATGATTATGATGTAGAGAAGTGATAGCGACACATGAATGAAAATAGTTCTAATAGCGTGAACAGATTTTATATATTATTTTCAACACATTTTTTCAGAAATTTCCATCGCAACCAGTTGTGCCTCAAGATTATATAACGTATTTGTCCTGGTGGTCAGATAACGCTCATCCCGGTGAAATTGAAGTAGCAGCGGTCTTTCTCTGCTTATGCGGTTTAATGGTAGATAAAACACTCTGCAATGAGTTACCGTCTGTAATAGCCGCTGCTAGCGTACAAAACGCCTTACTGCTTCTGGGGAAACGGGACTTGATGCTGCGCCTTCAGACATGTCCTGTGTGAGTAACATTATTTATAAAACCTTTTTTTATAATTATAAAAACCTTATACTATGATATTAAAGCTTGGTAACTATGCAAGTCATTTGCTTTTTTGATTTGATTTTTTGCAGTTTTAGGCGAAGTTTCATCATAATTTAACATTATACAAAATTAAAAGATTACATGCATCAGTCCATCCACGACAGCCTATAAAATTCTACTGCTTAACATAAGCCTCGCTTAATATAGAATACCTCATCAGGGGGATTCTGCCATAGTTGCGTCAGTATGTTTAATATTTTTTATTATGAAAATAATAAAAAAACAATCAACTTGTATTTATCATAATTATTTTTCATATTATTAACATAGATGGATACACAGGATAGAGTGACCACATGGTAGTCGATGGATGCAGGTGGCTCAGGACCGTTGTTTGTTGCATTCCGTGGAGCCTACGTTCAGCAGTGGACTTGTGAAGTGCTGTAATGAATGAATGAATGAATGAATGAATGAATGAATGAATGAAAGAGAAAAGTACATTGTAATAGAGTTTGTACCGGTAGCGGGAATGTAGTGATGAGGTCACAGCGACCTCATTACTATTGATTTGTGGTCCCTAGTCTTTGAGCTTGGTGTCAGAAAGACCACGTATTGTTTGTAGGAATATGATTAATTATTCAATGATATCCGAGGCATTAGGCCACAAAGACACTTGTAGGGACGGCTGAGATTATGTCTAGATGCGGGACGTCCTGGAAAACTCGGGACTGTTGGCAAACCCAATCATATTCCTCATCAATATGTAAACTGTTGGAGATTGGGATAATTTTCCTTAACATCATCCTTAGAAGGCAAACTGGTGGCCACTACAGAACTCAGAATCATTGCTTTGAGGCGGCCTCTGTACTAGGCAACTCAATAAGAGTAAGAGCCCGTGAATCCCAGACCTTCGTTATTTTATAAAAGCTGAAAGTTTGTCAGCGCATGCTCCCAACACAGGTAAGAACGATGGACCATCATGAAGTTTGGGTTACAGTGGCTTTGGCAAGTAACGGGTACTAAAGGTGCGTAAAATACCAATCTAAATCCTTCAAATAATAAAGTGCGACTTTTTGGTATTACCTTCAGAATATTGTTAAAAATCACGTTATTCATTGCTAGACACTTGCCAGACAAACATGTAGGGTAGCTCTAGGAGCGAGCGCGAGGCAGTATGTATATATAGTCCGTTCGCGTTAAGAAAATAGTGAGTCATCAGTGCAACTACAGGGTAAAGGTGTATTCACAATGGAGTAAAAATTCTTTTTTTTTTTTCAAACATTTAATTAAGTTTAACGGAAACAAATTTTCTTAAAATTACTTAAATCACTAATCAGTATCGCTAGATTCTCCAGTTACATTAATTATGAAAGAATTTTGTTCTGCAAGTTCCATGATGTCATCCAAATTCCACATGGTATTTTCTTCGCGTATCACGTGCAGCACTTCTTCCAAAGATTAGCGTCTATTAATGCTATTGTGTCATCTAATAATTTTTTATGTCACTCATTTTGAACGTGGAGTTATTGGAAGGTTTCGCAAAGTGCCATAATTTTGTCCAATGTCGGGTAGTCGTTATTTAAATATATTGAGTGAACACTTCTCCTTCTTGCACATTTGTCTAGTTTATCTAATTTATTGACCGTCGATAGTCGACCTCTTTTTTCACGGGTGATTTTAATGTGTTAGTATCCTTTTGTTCTTTAATAATTTTATAAACAGTATTTTCGGACACACCACATGCACTTGCTGTTTTTATTACTGTGCTCTCCACAGTCGCATTTAAATCACACAGTTTAAAGTACTTATAAACATTGTAAATTACGCGTCTCTCTCCGCTATGGATTATTGATCCACTTTTATTCTTTCGAATAGGTGAGGTATTCATTTTCAAAATTTAATGTTGAACGAGTAACACGCAAAATACACAACCGTTTTGTTCGAAGGCCTGACTTCAACTGGTCACTGTGAACTCGACTTTCTAATTTCTTGCACTTTAATTGGCTGGGGGGCGTGGCCAGGCCGGCGGACAACGATGACTCACTCTTTTCTTAACGCGAACGGACTATAGGTGGGTGCGAGTGAAATGGCGAGTTAAGTTTACCGCGATCCCTCATTGCTAGAAATGGTGTTAATAGTTAAATTTATTTATTTGTTAAAAGTTATTTCTTAATTTTTTTAACAGATAAAATTAACAGTCAAAATATTACTTACTTTTGAAGTGAATTTTTATTTTTAATCGGTTGTGTTAATTTTATTGCTTTAATTTTACACATGAAATTTTAATTCAATAAACATTTCTTCATACTTTAATAGGTACAGCACTCTTTAGTATTTTTATTATTATTTATTTGTTAAAAGTTATTTCTTAATTTTTTTTTGACAGATAAAATTAACAGTCAAAATATTACTTACTTTTGAAGTGAATTTTTATTTTTAATCGGTTGTGTTAATTTTATTGCTTTAATTTTACACATGAAATTTTAATTCAATAAACATTTCTTCATACTTTAATAGGTACAGCACTCTTTAGTATTAAAATATAGTTAGGCTAGACGTATTTAAAGGTTTATTAATTTAGTATTTATATTACATTAAAATTAACAATAAATTGCTTATCATTTACAATGATTATTTGGTATTTAGTATTTACTAAATGTAAAAAAATTACAAGTTTTTCAAGATGGTCCCATAGCTGTGTGACGTCTCGGCATGATAAAAGGTGAAAATTAAACTCTTAAAATCTTATACTTTTGTACACTACCCTAAATAATACTAAATAATATAAAAACTAATTTCACTAAATCTTAATTAACTTCCCTAGCATTTATTTTTACAACTTTTTATATATTCTTCAGTATATTGATACCCCAATCTCTTGTAATATTTTGACGCAGAAGAAGACCACAATATCGAATGGAGTAACAGTGACGGAGAAAATGATAACATTAGTGATGATAATGGTAATGAATGTAATAGTATTGTCTTTTATACTCTATAATAATATGTAATGTCATCAATCTTTTTTCTTATCCTTTATAACAACTTGTAGTATTAACCTATTTTAATAAAAATTTTGAGAAATATTTTATTTGGCTTTTTTAAACCTGTTATTGACAGAATAAATTAACATTTTTAACAATTTAAGGTAGTTGTAGCACCGAATGTCTTTTCGTAAGATGTGTTAAAAATTTCCATAGATTATCATTATCAGCTTTACATAAATCAGCGCCAAACAGTTTATTTGCGTAAGTCGTTCTAATCGATTGAACTAAATACATAGTATCTGGATGCTATAATCACGAATATCTTCTTAAGATTTGCAATGTTTCTCTGGCAAGGGGTTGGAACTATCAAAATATCCGGCTAATAAGGAAACATCATCTAATTATTACCCAAGTATTATATATAAAAATCAGCTATTACACTATAACGTAAATAATAATATAATTAATATTATTCTTAGAATATTAAATTAATAATACTTGAAGATAGGATTTATTATTGTTTTACTTGATGTAAGCGTGTATTAAATACTAAACAATACAAGCGCATCTCACTCGCACCCATCCATATACATACTGCCTCGCGCTCGCTCCTACAGCTACCCTACATGCTTGTCTGGCAAGGGGTTGGAACTATCAAAAATGTCTGGCTAATGAGGAAACATAATTTACTTATTACACAAGTTTTATATATAAAAATCAGCTTTCATACTATAACGTAAGTAAATTTATAATTTCATGAACATTAAGGGTGTCTGGCAAGGGGTTGCTACGACGTTAAGTGTCTGGCAATGAATATCGTGATTTTTAATAATATTCTGAAGGTAATACCAAAAAATCGCACTTTATTATTTGACGAATTTAGATCGGTATTCTACACACCTTTCGTAGCGTTTACGTGCCAAAGCCACTGTAACCCAAACTTCAAGATCGTTCTTACCTGTGTTTGGAGCATGCGCTGACTAATTTTCAGCTTTTATAAAATAACGAAGGTCTAGGGTTCACGGGCTCTTAGACTAATATGCGATTCAAGTAAGACTAGGTCTGACCTGGCGCCATATTGTGACGTCACATCTATCAATTCCAGTTAGGTAGGGTCAGCAAAGTAGATATTTTTGAAATAATATTTATTTACAAATAAATACAAAAGAACCATGAAAGAAAAAGTATTAAGGCGCTACTCCTAGCGAACGACTTTGAGCGTTCGGTCCTATAAATTCCACGCGCTCTCGCTACAATATGTCGCGTAAAAAATACGCCCAAATTATAAAATATTTTCTTTATAAAATCGAATTTTAGTCCTTTGAAAAAATGAAATAGATCATAATTTGTCTGAGAAATAAGAAATTCCCATGTCATGGGTGTTGGCGAACTTAACAAGTGTTCGAAATATCGAAGACATGTGAAGTTCGCAAGTACGCGTTGGGGCAGGGCGGCGGACACTTCCCCGCCTTATAAAATGAGGAGTGGCGTGTGTCCATCAGCGGGACGTATATAGGCTGTAATATTTTTATATAGTGTAAGGAACATCCGATTTTTGGCTTTTTACAACGAAACAGTTCAAATATAAAATATTTTTAGGTTTAAAGCAGCAAAAAATAAGACGACGAATATGTGTTGCATTTGCTCAACATTGCGTACAGCGGTGCGTATCGTGTCGAACTATAAGTACGAGTACAAGGCGCCAATAGAAATTTTTGGAATTGGCCCCCATTTTATAGCACAAAAGATTGTAAAATGCGCATACGACCTTAAAGATTTGGAAGTTCAGTGTACAAGGAATTGAGGAAAAATACTCGCTATAACGTGCATTAAAGACTACTTGGTTAAATTTTGGAATATTTATTGAAATACAATGAAATGTTATATAACCTGTAATTTCTCATTTCTGTAAACAAAATTTCGTAAAAAATAAAAGGATAATATTTTACACAGGCTTTTGCAATTATAAAGTGAAGTAAAAAAAATATAGGAAGATAAATATAGAATAGTTACAAATGGGTTCACCAAGTTCAGTTAACAAATTATCTATATAGAAATTGAACTACCTAACCTATTTTTAATAAATATATATATATACAGTTCTTAATCGCATATTTGTTAAATTTATTAAACTTTGAAATATTTTAAGAGGAAAGTATGATAATGGTTCTGAATATTAAACTACTTTTGATCACATACCATTATTTAGGTGATTTTTAATTTCGCTGTAAAATCTTAGCAAATTTTAACATTTATTGTGTTGAAGTATACAAAAACACTATATAGTATAATGTTTTAAAAAAAAACATTATATAGTATAGTGTTGTTTAGAAAAAACACTATATAGTATGGTGTTTTTCTGTATACTTCAACAAAATAAATGTTAAAATTTGCTAAGATTTTACAGTGAAATTAAAAATCACCTAAATAATGGTATGTGATCAAAAGTAGTTTAATATTCAGAACCATTATCATACTTTCCTCTTAAAATATTTCAAAGTTTAATAAATTTAACAAATATGCGATTAAGAACTGTATATATATATATATATATATATATATATATATATATATATATATATATATATATATATATATATATATTTATTAAAAATAGGTTAGGTAGTTCAATTTCTATATAGATAATTTGTTAACTGAACTTGGTGAACCCATTTGTAACTATTCTATATTTATCTTCCTATATTTTTTACTTCACTTTATAATTGCAAAAGCCTGTGTAAAATATTATACTTTTGTTTTTTACGAAATTGTGTTTACAGAAATGAGAAATCATATCTTAAAATAATTGAAAGTATAATAAGTCACCTAAACTCATGTATACATTTTATGAACATTTTTAAGTCTACCTATATTATGTAAAATTAATTTTAAATCAATAGTATTAAATAAATGTGGTTATATTAAATAAAATAGATGACTTGTTAAATGATTTTACTTTTTTATTATCTACTTTTTACGCCGATAAGATAAAAGATAAAGGTAGAGTAAGTAAGATATTTATTTTGTAAAACATAAGAAAAAAATAAAGGTGTTAAAAACTTAAAATGAGCTACATGTTTTGCCATTTATGGCGTACAAAAATTATTATACAGGATAAATTAATTAAGACTACGGACATAATTTTAGATGTCCAACAATTTCAATGGCATCTCGTAAAATCGAAAAGATCGTGATATTGAAAGATGACGACGATATTGTGTATGTCATTTTTGACTATTACTAATTACAACATAGCAATACACTATAGTAAAAAGAGGGTAAACATACGAATATAGTGGGATTCATTAAAACAATACAAAAATACTGTCGACAAAATTAAAAATGGGATTGAGTGTGATTGACTCTGTGCTTCTGTCAAGTATTTTAAGCAATTAATCATGTCGTCATAAAGAAAAGTGGTCGTAATTAAATATTAATTAGTTGTATTGTGTAGTTAGTGTAACTTGTTTATCATTGTATCTAAAACTCCACTGTTGCACATAGGCCTTTTAAAAGTTCGTTTTAAAGTAAAGAGTTATAGAACTCGCACTGTTGACGCTTCTCCCCAACATCGTCGTAATCGTCGTCATTTTCTAAATGTCAATGTCATCGGTGTGAGTAATTTACGTCTGGCGTAAGCGAGTTAATTCCATCGATGTGTATTTTTTTCGGAAGCTTTCTTTCTGCTGATTCCTATACTCGCCACTTACGACACTCACGAGGTAAAATAGGTTTACGAATGCCCTTATCCTTCCATCACACAGATATTCTTATTCCACCAGCAAAAACCTTTCCAACATTACGTTAAGATTCCGTGTATCTAGTGAGAGGCTGGTGGCGTGATCCTAGTGAGATCGGTGACCATTGTCAAATTTCGCCCTCGCAATCACTGAGATACTACTACTAAAAAGTTGTAGCCCGGTCGGCGTAATGAAGTCAAAATCATTTTGTCGAACAGTCGGCACTGAATCATATACTGTTTCTGTAGAATAAAAGATTTATCTTTTTTATAGGATTAGGGTAAGAAGCGAGCACACAGTCCACCTGATGGTAGGTGATAGTAAATCAAATATAGTTTATGAGTGCCTACAATAAATAAATAGCAATATTAAAATAGATATGGAGAAACGTTTTCAAGCTGATAAACTTTGAATGGATGGCATTATTTTAGTGAAAATTTGAAACTTCGACTTGAACATAGAAAATACTCTTACAATTAGAGTAGTTTACTACAATTTCGTGATATGTTTAAAAAAAAATCTCTTAAACTTTTTTTATAGAATAAGGCTGATAAACCAGCACACAGGGCACATGATAACAAATGGATGCTGTAGCACATAAATATTTACATCTATCTTCCATTATAGTATAAGTGTTACAAACGAGCACACAGTCCACGTGAGGTTAAGTGGATGCTGTGGCCCACAGAAATCTACATTTATGTTCAATTAAAAATCAAAATGCAGATTTGTTGCCAGTCCTGAGGACTGAGATGGAATGCCACGTTTCCAATAAAAAGGATCTCCGGTTCTTTCACCATACGAAACACAGCACCATTAAGCTGCTATTTTGCGCTGGTATTCTTTGCGAGCGTGGTCCTACCCCGGTCGAGCCGACCCATTCGTGCTGCAACCACAATATAGCTGCAGCATGGCTCTACCACGTAAATAGGTGACACATGTGAAGTTCGCCAACACGCAACGAGGTGATGCGGCCGACGAATTGCTCCATAAACCTGTTTAGAAATGACAGGCCTGTGCCCAGCGGTGGGACTTATAGGCTGTAACTTTACTTTACTTTGTAAACTATAAACGCGAATATTATTAATAGCAATTACACGTAATTTTTTACTTATTATTAATATAAATTTACATATATTCAAGATAATATATACACATTTGGTAAACAAAAAACCGGCTGCTGGGGAAAAACCAAAACCAGATGTTATGTCTACTATCAACTAAGGTTACTGTTCGGAAGGAAAAACAGTTTTATTACTATGTAGCAAAATTTATTTTCTCTTGAATACATTTTGATTACAATAAAGCTGTGAGAACTGTGGTGATTGTAGTCATAATTATTTTATAAAGCAAGTTAGTAGCAGTGTGCATCGGTGTTGTGTGGTTGTGTAAGATTTATATTTGTAAACAGTGTTACTACAATGACATTAAAACGTAAGTAAAAACATCGTATTTAATGTGTTTTCTCATTGTTATCATCTTATATATACAATAAAACGACTGAACGTAGATATTCCCGAAGTGATGCCGCACAGCACGTTTTTTGCATTCATCAATTTCCATTGTATACATAAATGTTTATCATTATTCACTGATGTTAGTTAAAATCCGTGTTTTATTTTTACAGTGTTAATATACATGTCTTTAATTATATGGCATGTAAATTCTCAGAGATCACAGACTCCAATTATGTATCAACAAAACGTACCCGATATCTATAATAGCGGACAGATATTTTTTGAAAATTCTCACTATCTCCATCCGCAAATAAATTCAGGTTATACTATTAATTCACATGACAACAAGTTTTCTCGAGAATATGACAAAAATACGAGGCAAATTTTAGTTGACAACAGATTTGAACCTAATAACAAAGTGTCATACGGTCAAAAACAAATACAAACACAACAACCGATTTACCAACACACAGTGCAACCAGATCAGAAGATTTATAACGAAGACAATATACATAGTGATGGTACAAGAACCACAATAGCTCAAACAACTATAGATGAAGACATTTCATCCAAATTACGCGAGAGCGATACAGGAAAATTGAGCCAAAATACAAATTTCGATAATAAAACTTTCGCTATAACCAGTTTTGGATTAAAATTATTAAAGGTAGGTTATAGCTTTTTTAAAGTAAAAGAATTATTAGCTTATGGTTTCTTCAAAAATATTACTTCTTGAAGGTATTCCAAGAAATCTCCATGTCAATAAAATGTTAAATAGGTTATTGGAATTTAAAATTGGAATCGATTCTCGAAGTAACGAAGTTGACTTGGAGTTCAAGTTAGTAAGTTTAAGTTCGTTAAGAAGTGCTGAAGAAGCTGAAGTGGTAATGGCTTATATAGCTCGAAGTACCCACTACCAGTAAGGAAAAAGGTTCCCGAATGGCAGCCTCGTATCAGTAAGCGAAGTGTGGGACGACACCCCACTGGATGGAGTGACGTCCAGTAGCCCATGCAGGAAGTCGATGGATTTTTTTATAGGATAAGGGTGACAAACGAGCACACAGTATATATACCTCATGGTAAATGGTTACTGCGGCCCATAGACATCTAAATCTATCCTCAATTACGAATCAAAATGCAGATGCGTTTTCACCCGTGAGGACTAAGATAAAATGCCTCGCTCCGGTTCTCCACACTCACCATACAAAACACAGCAACGTAAAGCAGCCATTTAGCGCTGGTATTCTGTGAGAGCGTGGTCCCTTCCCGGTCGAGCCGACCCATCCGTGCTACAACTATACTACTAATGTAACTGCAGCATGGCTCTGCCATTTATAAAATTAAAAAGCTGTATATAGCTCAGGATCGTGCTTTGCGATATTCTTATGGGTAGGCCATTTTTCAACAATAGACTAGTGATGGGCTGTGACGATGATAATGAAATTAGATAAAAGTTTTTGGGTTTGGTTTGCATTCAAATTCAATCACTATTCATTAATTATAACCTATCAAAGTCAACTGCTGAATGTAGGCATCTGTCGTGGATTATTGTATAGGATAGCAATAGTAGTTGCCACGCTTGGCATACTATAAAATAAATTTTATTACCTTACGATTACTAAATTGAATAATTAAAATGCGGAAATTTTGCCAAATTGAAATTTGATTTAACTGACACAGATGTAAGACGCCGCTATCTCTGATCGTGATCTATAATGGTAACTTAAGTTGTTAGTAACTTTAATTCATTCTTATTCCTTACACTATATTACGAGTATGTGAGTATATTGTTAACGTAATGTTCGTGTAGAATCATATAAAATTTTGACAAATTGAAATTTGATTTAACTGACACAGATGTAAGGCGCCGCTATCTCTGATCGTGATCTATAATGGTAACTTAAGTTGTTAGTAACCTTAATTCATTCTTATTCCTTACACTATATTACGAGTATGTGAGTATATTGTTAACGTAATGTTCTTGTAGAATCATATAAAATTTTGACAAATTTGTTCCTCATTTCAGGGTATGAGTCGGGATCCAGGAAACATTTTAGCATCACCATATTCGATCGCTATGCTTCTGGCGCTTATACAACAGGGTGCGTTTGGAGAAACGCAAAATGAAATCACGAAGGTGTTACAGTTAATGCCAGAATCTTCAGCGGAATTGTTTAAGGGTCTTACAAATGCTGTGCAGGTATTTAATTTACAGTTACAATTTTCTTCGGGTCAATTTTGACCACAGCGATAACCTGACAATGCTGTTAGAAATATTTCACTGACAAAAGTGTTCCCTCAAGCACTGGCTCTTACACGTCTGTTTATTTATGATGAAGTATCTACTCACACCTATCTAACGGGGGCAGGGAATAGTGTTTATAAAGTCAGGTTCGCACTGACTAATTGAATAAAACTCATGTTCATAGTGTTCCAGCTTCGCCGCATAAAGACAGACAAATGAGAGGGAAACTCCTTCCCCCGTTCTTCTTCTTAGGAAAGGCGAGTCGAAAACAGGCTCACATTCTTTCACGACTTCGATTTCCACCTGCGTAACGGACCTTCCCAAGTCCGTTATGCGCAGGTCATAGTGTAAGAAAAATCGTAGCTTTCCAGGGCATCAGTTTTCCCCAGCGGCCGATCTGGATCGCCATTTCGACACTCTAAACCAAATTTCATTCCAAACAATATTTCGTATTATAATCCTGTAGACATAATGTGTACTTACTACTATATAATGCAATCACATGAACGTAATGTCAAATTGAACTTATGATTTAGATTCATTGACTTATATATTACTTTGTTTAGATTATGAATTTTATGTATTTAAGGAAAATATTAAGTTCGTTGTTAAAGTAAAAATTATACAAGAACGTATCTATTTTAACTTTTTTTTGTTAGTTCATTATGTAAAATATTAATTTTTATTAGAGAAGTGCTGTAAAAATGTTTTCAAGCTGACAAACTTTGAATGGACGGCATAATTTTTTGGAAACACAGAAAATACTCTTACAATTAGAGTATTTAGTTCACTACAATTTCATGATATGCTTTTCAAAAATCTCTTAAACATTATTTATAGACTAAGGATAACAAACGAGCACATATTCCACATGATGACAAGTGTATGCTGTAGCACATAGATATCTACATCTATCTTCGATTAAGATTCAAAATGGAGATGCGTTGTCACCTCTGAGCACCCAGATGGAATGCTCCGTTTCCAGGAACAAGGGTCTGCTGTGCTCTACACTCGCTATACAAAACACAGAAGCAGTAAGCTCCTATTTTACGCCGGTATTTAGTGAGAGCGTGGTCCTTCTTCGATCGAGCCGACTCATTTGTGTTTGCATCATAATATAGCAGCAGCATGGCTCTACCAGAAATAAAGCGTTTATGTAATCAAGGAAAATTTTGTATTTCTTTTTTCAGTTCTGTATTGGAATTATCGTCAAAACGCGTAGGGGCAGTGTAAAAATATCCCCCCTACCACATAACGTGCCGTGGGTGTCGTAAAAAGCAACGGAGAGAAACAAACCACGAGATAGCCAGCAGTGTCTTCCTAAAAACTACAAGAAATTGAAGAACCCGACCCAAGCGTGGCAACAATGGAAAATAACCACCCTATGAAACTATCTATGTTCAGCTGTGGACTTTCGATAGGCTGTAATGATAATGATGAAGTAATGAAAAAGAAACTTATTTTTATGTTCGTTCTTTACAGAAACGGAAGTCTCACAATATTTTGAAGATTGCAAGTAACGTGGTCTTGGCGGATTCATTCAGTGTAGATCCTAAATTTAAATCAATCGCAATTCATAATTTTGAAAGTGAAGTAACTAATGCGAATTTCAACAAACCATTGGAAGTATCACAAATGATCAATAATTGGGTCGCCGCTAAAACAAACAACAAAATTTTAAATCTGTTGGCACCAGGTAATTTCTTTAATTTAACTTGCGGTAATTTAACGTTTATCCCAAAGCACACTACTCAACCTGGTCTTTTGCTTCACGCATCCAGTTGCTACAATACATGCTTGTGTAGATCGTCGCTTTCTCTATTTAGCGTGGCCTCTATTTCATGACTATCTGCTCCGACGGTTATCACCTCTGTGACAGACGTGTCAAACTTAAATTGGCAATATATTCTGCTTGTCAGGTAAGTAATTTATATTGCTGATGGTGATTTGAGCTATTTCTTGATAAGATTTTCAATTACTATTCAAAGATATCTTTATGATTATCCCAAAAAATGTTAGTTATATGCATGCATATTATGTACAAGGCGCAACAGTGTGACATAATATGTAGGCTGCCCTTATTTTGGCGAAGAATAATAATATTCTAATTAGCAGTGGGTCATTATATTGTTATAATTGTAACAATATTGTTATTGTATAACGGATAATGTTATCATAACTATCTATATTTCATAATTCTCCCCATTGCCATAGATATGAATATACTTAGACGGATTTCTCCATTACAAATTAATGTGTAAGAGAAAATAAAATTTGAAAGTTATTACTCTATTCATGGAAAAAATGTGGTTATTATAAAACATATTAAAATAGCAAAAGTGTATTATAGTTAGGTACTTTAGTTTAACATTTAATTGGCAAAAGTGTATTTCTAAATAATAAGTGTAATAAGGATTATAATTAGTAAAATATATGTTTACCAGTGTAAATTACAGTTTCTTGAGATTGGAAAAAAGGCACATAAACTATTTTGTTACGAAGTTAACACAGGATAAGCGAGATGCGCAATACAAAGATGATGTAAACTATGGCTGTTATTTAGCAGTTTCATTCAAAATCTTAAATATTAAAACGTTAAGTGCATCCTTCGGCCTAAATAGCGTAAATTCATACCAACGAGCTTGCAGTGCATTTGATATTAAATTACCTATTTTTATCCATGTACCCAGCATCTCAATACAAAAAAAAGAAGGCTAGGTGCGCAATCACTTCCAAAGATTAAGGTGTTTACATCTAATAGTCTGTTATTATAATAAACTAGCTGATACTCGCACGCTTCGCTGGGCGCACTATAAACGTATGGGACTATCGTACTCGTAAAATCCGTTCTTAGTAAGCGTCTACATTGCGAAATGAGTAACTATATTGAATTACAAGTCAATCGGGTGTATAGTTTTAGAGATAACGTGATTAGTCAGTCAGTCAGTCGTTGTTGAAAACTAGAAGTAAGTTTCATTAACTATGCAAACATTGGCGAAGCTTGTCTTATGAATTGTATATTTATTCTGTGGTTATAAACAGTAAAGTACTTTTTAATAATCAACCAATCATAACCCGCTGCTGAACATTAGCACATCGCCAAAAAAATCTGAGGAGTAGTCTATGATAGAGTAAGTTTTTTTGTAAGTTTCTTTTTGTTTTCAGATGCACTTCAACTGGACACTCTAGCAGTCTTGGTAAATGCTATTTACTTTAAAGGAATTTGGGATACTAAATTTCGTATAGAATTGACAAAACCAAAAACGTTCTATCTCAGCAACGGTTCAAGAAAAGTTGTACCGTTTATGCATGCACGACGAATGTTCCAAACAGATATCGATCCTGAAATTAATAGTCAAGTACTGTTAATACCGTTTGAAGTAAGTTTTTTTCTCCTTGAAATAATTTTGAGCGTTTTGTTTAAGTTTTCGCTAGAGGGTAGTAATGAAACTTGGGCATTTAGTTTCTTAATCATTCACCGTGTAGTGTCGGTATAAGAATATCCACTACATCATATTATTATGTAGGTGTCGTAATAGGTGATATGGGCAGCAGCTTCTTCATCATAAAAACAACAAAATGGCGCTTGCCAAGCGTGAAAACTATAGTAAATATCCCTCCTATAACGCAATCTATGGGGGGCCCATGTTCAGCTGTGGACCTTTAAAGGGCTGTAATGTATTCATTTCTCTATTATCAAGTAAAAGTATATTTATAATCATCAAGCATGTATGAAGGTTCTTTAGTATCATTAAATTTTTTATTAAGTTCATTGCCTAACATTGACTTCAGTCGCAAATTTAATTATTGTATCATGTTTAAAGAAAATAATCTTTTGTTAATTTTTTTTTACTTTATGTAATATATCTCTCACTTCCTTAAATAATAATAATAATATATATTATTTTGACTGCCGCGTTGGTCTAGTGGTGGTGAAGGCGATTGCTACTCATGATGCCCCAGGTTCGAGTCTAAGGTCGGGTTAAAATCAGTTATTGCTTTTTTTTTGTCAAGAAATGTAGTAAGAGCAGAAAAAAAGCAAAAGCAAAAGAAATTGCAAAAGCATTAAAATAATTAATTTTGCCAGTGATGACTTACGGATCTGAGACCTGGTCCTTCACTGCTGGCCGTATGAGGACGCTCAAAGTCGCTCAGCGAGCTATGGAGAGGGCTATGCTCGAAGTTTCTCTGCATGATAGACTCAGAAATGAGGATATCCGCAGTAAAACCAGAGTGACCGAAAAAGCCCAACGGATTAGTAAGCTGAAGTGGCAATGGGCCGGCCATATAGCTCGAAGAACCGACAACCGATGGGGAAGAAAGGTTCTCGAGTGGCAGCCTCGTACCGGTAGGCGTAGTGTAGGGTGACCCCCCATTAAATGGAGTGACGACCTGGTAAGACATGCAGGAAGTCGATGGATGCAGGTGGCTCAGGACCGTGCTTTGTGGCATTGCTTGGGGGAGGCCTACGTTCAGCAGTGGACTTGTGAAGGGCTGTAATGATGATGATGATGATGAATTATTTTTATTCCAAACCAATTTATAGGCCATTTTGATATATCAAATATAGCTATCCAATAATTTTTTTTTAACTTTACAGAAAGCGCAATATTCCATGATGATTATCCTGCCATTTGAAGGGGTTAATGCTCTCGACGTCCTATCATCGTTAACTGAACAAAAGTTGTATGCTTACCAGACATTTACAGCCAAGGAAGTCCAATTGGATATTCCTCGATTCACAGTTAAATCTGAACGCAATATATTTGACCTTCTGAACTTTGTAAGTAATTTTTATAAAGATAGTATGCAAGTTGCGGATAAAAACCAAAAGTGCATCAAAGCGTCAATTCATAATTTTTATCTAATTATTTATCCTTTGAATCACCTGGGTCTTATTTGTGAAGGAAAACATAATATCTTGTGGTATTTTCTGCCAGTCAGGAGAATAATAAAAGTTTTTTTTTTAAATGAACGGTGAAAATGATTATGTAACATATGTACGTAATGATTTAAAAGTAGTTAATGGAAAAATGTTTGAATTCCCAGAATTCACAGTGGTAACCTGTGTATTTGATTACAAAACCAAAACTTCTTTTATTAGCAAATATTTTATCCAAAAAATGTAGTAATGACAGCTCAGAAAACATAGAAGTATTAGAATTTACTTAAAATGTCTGCTACCTTATTTTATCGTATATTAAGACATAGGTAAATATTATTACAAGTATACACCTTTTAATTACGTATTATTATACCTTTGTATAATATAGCCTTGAAATCAATCAATGGTAAATGCCACAACCACTTCAATGCAAAAAGTATTAAAGTATTGTTTAAAATTTTCTGCTATGTTTCAATCGTCTTAAAATTTGGTCTTTTACAGATTGGTATTTGGCGCATATTCAGTAACGAAGCGAACTTAACTGGTATTGGAACGTATCAAGGGATAACTCCCCGTATTTCGACGGCAGTCCACAACGCTGTGCTGTCCATTGACGAGCAAGGAGGATCGGCGGCGGCGGCTACTGCCTTCTCCGTGGTTGCGTTATCCAATGATGATTCTGCTATAACTTTCCGTGTAAATAGACCATTTTTGATTGTGCTGTGGGATAGTCAACTCAATGTTCCACTGTTTATGGGCAAAATTGAAGATCCAACGTCATAGATGATGTCATTTAATGGCTCACTCGTTAGGTTAGAAACAATAAATATTAAAAACTGGCTGGCGTAATTTTCTTTTTTGTTGTTGATAAAAAGCAGAGCGTTCAGAATTATTATTTAAGTTGATGTTTACCAGACATATTGCGTTGGAACGTTTTTTTAGAAAAATATTCTGTTCTTGGGGTTTTTAATTTTTAACATATTGTTTGCATAATATTTGACATTGTATTCTTATCAAGTAGACCCGAACAGGCGGATGCAACGTAAAAAAATCACTGTGCCATATACATATACAATCATCATTGCCATTATCATCATCATCATTACAGCCTAGCTTAAGTGCACTATTATTCTCAGGCCCACCAAGATTATTACAGAGTAAGGTCCTGAACTACCTGCATTCATCGACTCCCTGCATGTTACATCAGGTTGTCATTCCATTTAATGAGGAGCTTGCACAACACTGTACTTGATGTACTAGATGATAATTGGCAATGATTTTCAGAGATAATTATGTAAAGTTACAAAAATGTTCCCGTACCTATTTCATCTGGAGAACATCCTAACTAAATAATTATATACGCTACAAAGCTAATTTGTTTTGACTTTACAGCCTATATTGCCTCCGCCTCACAAGAGGCCTCCATTCCCAAGAAAGTCTAAAATAAAACCATTCATGTAATAAAACCGCTATATTTAATGTTGACTCTCAAATATTATACTTTTTCCTTTTAAATCTTTTGAATAAGTTGATAAATGGATCATCAGCAAATATTCTTAACTTGTTGGTGTTGTAGAAGTCTTCTATTTCTTGTAGGGTTTTTCCTTCTGTTTCTGGTAAGTAAAAGTACAAATATACTGTTCCAAGGAAACCAAATCCTGAGTAAGTCGCAAAGGCGCCCCATAACCTCAAATTGACTTCAAGGTTAATGAAAGTTTTTGAACCTAAGAAAGTAAATATGTAGTTGCTAGCAGCGGCGACACCTTGAGCTGAAGCACGACTCCTAAAACGAAGAAAGGCAACGTTATTTTAGTTAGTGGATACTGTTTTTTTTTGTGGCATTACTCTAGACGCAAAGTTTCAATAATATGGTTTCAATAATATACTCTAATCTTTTTTACTGCTTATTCTGTAAAAAAGATTAGAGATCTCACTAGTGTTGAGGCAGATAGGTTAGTTTATTTTAGGCATCCGGTCAGTCCGAGAAATCGGTGAATACATATAAGAAAACATATACGTCGAATATAGAGCCTTCTCGTTTTTTGAAACTCGGTTAAATGGTATTCTCGAATAATGTAGCATCATTATTTAAAAGCATAAACTCACCTAAACGGGAATACTTCTCCCAATAACACCCAAGGGATTCCCAATCCAGTGCACATGGCCATTAAGTAGAATAGCACTAATGGCACATGACTTTTTTCCTCTGGGAACGTCTCAGTGTCGTATGAATACACTGAGTCTTCCAAATTCTTTTCGGCATAGATGCTAAGACTCGCACAGAAGATCGCTGTACCGAGCATCGCTGATATGGCAAGCTTGCGTTTGCCAACGATCTTTATTATAGCAATCACTATGATGCTTGTGAGAAACGTGATGACACCCACCATAAGCTGAAATGAAACATATTCATTCTTTTACCAAAAGAAATAAATAAAAAAAGACACGCATTTACCATTTTCGGATATTAAAGGTATTTGTGAGTCTTGACCTGAAAGATTTCGCAAGGTGCTATAACTGCCATCTGTTCCAAAAACCTTATAGCACGGTGGTCCAATATAACACATTGGTCACTATGATTTCTTTGTCATCATTTACAATACAAATAACTTTATGACCAAATAATAGTGTTATTTCACGCCGTTTTTTTAGAGCGCAGTTCTGCTATGTAGCACTACCACTCAAGAAAGGTTTAACAGTGTTAGAGCCACGCGGCAGCTTTTCTGTTGCACGTATGGGCCGGCTCAAACCGGGGTGGTACCACGATCTCACTGAATACCGGCGTGAAGTGGAAGCTCTGCTTCCGCGTTTCGTCTGGTGAGTGCAGGTGGCCGGAGGCCCCAATCCCCCCCCCCCCCCATCAACATGGTGGCGGAATTAAATGATGATAGACTACCCCAGGAGGGTACCAATACCCCTGGAGAATCCCTCGCTGAGCATCCACGACCATGTTTCTCTACTTCTGAGCGTGGGTGCTCTGGCTACTCCGCATATTCTGGGGGGGGAGGGCAAAATTCCGCTCCAGACTACAACTGCTCGGGGCAAACGGAGCAACAAGACCAAGGCGACCCCTGCCACGCTGTCCGTGAATTTTTGCAATATCAGGGGACTTCACTCTAACCTAAGCCTCGGCAGACTTGAAGGTTCAGACCTGTCCATCCTTTGGCTACGCGTAGACAGACCGACGACCATTCGCGCGTCTACGGGTGCCTCTGTAAGTCCCATAGCGGTAATGCCGAAACTGACCGACTCTTCGACCACGTCCGAATGGCTACAGATTCGTTGCTACAGCAGATCCCCTCCGCAGAGATCGTGATCCTTCCCATCGTGATCGTCCCAAAATCATGGAAGACGGCTTTCGGCCACCCGATCCCTAAAAAAGGCGACCGCTCAGACCCGTCCAACTACCGGCCTATCGCCATCACCTCCTTGTTCTCCAAAACAATGGAGTCCATTGTAAACTGCCAGCTCATGAGGTACCTTGAGGATTACCAGCTGATTAGTGACCGCCAATACGGTTTTCGCCGTGGTCGGTTAGCTGGTGATCTTCTGATCTACCTAACTCACAGATGGGCGGAGGCAGTAGAGTCCAAGAGGGAGGCGAAATGGTGCGATTGGATCACCAGCTTTCTTGCAGATCGAAGTATCAAGGTCGTTGTAGACGGTGCAAGCTCCAATTGCAAGCCTATTAATGCTGGTGTTCCACAAGGCTGCGTGCTATCGCCAACGCTGTTTCTTCTGCATATCAATGATATGTTGCAAACCCGTAACATTCATTGCTATGCAGATGACAGCACTGGTGATGCTCTACACACCGGCCGAGCCAATATTTCTCGGGAAAACGTCTCCGAGTGCCGGGACAAACTTGTGTCTGAAGTCGAGTCTTTGCTGAACAGAGTCTCGGATTGGGGGCGACTAAATCTAGTCCAGTTTAACCCCCAGAAGACACAAGTTTGCGCGTTAACCGCTAAAAAGAACCCTTTGTCGTATTTCCTCAGTTTCAAGGCGTCGACATATCGAGTGACGTGCAGTTTCGTGGTCACTTGGAAGAGAAGGCCAAATTGGCCTCTAAAAAGCTTGGCGTGTTCAGCAGGGCGGGACAGTATTTCATGCGGGCACACCGCCTGCAACTTTACAAGGCACAGGTTCGGCCGCACATGGAATACTGTTCCCATCTCTGGGCTGGGGCTCCTCAGTACCAGCTCCTTCCACTTGACCGCATCCAGCGCAGAGCGGCTCGAATCGTCGACGACCGAGTGCTTTCCGATCGGCTCGATCCACTGGCACTGCGAAGAGATGTTGCATCTCTTTGCATTTTCTTTCGCATATACCATGAAGAGTGCTCTGAGGAATTGCTTGGATTAATCCCAGCCGCCAAATTTCGTGAACGCACTACGCGACAAACGTCCCTATACCATCCACACCATCTGGATGCTTGGCGGTCCACCACTGTACGTTTCAAAAGGAGTTTTCATCCGCGTACAACCTCTCTGTGGTATTCCAAAATTTTTCTGGCGATTTTTCTGGACCCATACGACCTGGGGACCTTCAAGAAAAGAGCTTACTCCTTTCTAAAGGGCCGGCAACGCACCTGCAATTCCCCTGGTATTGCGATTGATTATGGGCGGCGGTAGTCACTTAACATCAGGTGAGCCGCATGCTCGTTTGCCCCCTCTTCTATAAAAAAATGCTGATATATTATGGTTGCAGCACGAATGGGTCAGCTTAACCGGGGAAGGACCACGCTCTTATCGAATACCAGTGTAAAGTAACATTTCAATGCTGCTGTGTTTCATACGGTAAGCGTAGATAACCGGAGACCCTTTTTACTGGAAATGAGGTATTCCATCTAAGTCTTCACGGATGGCAACGCATTTTGATTCTTAATCGAAGATAGATGTAGTCTATGGACCATAGCATCGACTTACTATCAGGTGGATTGTGTGCTAATTTGTAAAATGAAAAGCCTTTTCTAGGCCTAGCCGTTATAAAAGAGGGGGCAAACGAGTGTACGGTTCACCTGATGTTAAGTGACTACCACAGCCCATGAACAACCGCAACACCAGGGGCGTTGCAGGTGCGTTGCCGGCCCCGAATTTACATTACCAAACTAGTGGCTCGAAATTAGTTTTATGACATTAATTTCATCAACAATTTCACGAGTAAATTTACAGTTTCGTAACGCATGCATCGGTTTCGCGACACTGGATTAATTTCGTGCCATGCGCATATTTTTTGTAAAACTAATGTCATGCAACTAATTTGATCATGTAAATGCGACGCGAAACTAGTGTCGCGACAGCACCTGCGCAGAGTGGACGTGTGATTTTTTGTTGGATTGCAGACAAATAGGTACGCACCAAAAATGGTGCTGTCCGTTGCGTTGGGCAGGCGATAAAAATATACAATTTATCAATGCATATCAACTTAACGAGTGTCTTTGGGATCCGAAACACCCGCAGTATAAAAATAGAGATGCTCGAGAAGCGACAAAAGAATTAAGGAAGCCATGCAAATGGAAACTGTTAAAGATGTTGTTAGCAAAATACGAATACATTGTAATACTTACAATAATGAACTTTTGAAGGCAAAAAAAAAGTAATACTACGGGTATGGCCACTGGAGACCTATGCGTTTCTAAAATACCTTGGTTATCTCATATGGATTTTTTTTAAATACCAGAGAAAATACAGAAAATGTGGTAAGTTATCATTTTATTCTCTATACCTATTATACATTACATAAACACACATTAATGTTTTTACATTTAATAAATCATTCTA